TAGAAAACATGAATTATGAGGGAAGACTGAAAGAACTGGGCTTGTTTAATATGGAAAAGGGAAGACTGAGAGGGGATATAACAGCTTTCAAGTATCTAAAAGGGTGTCACAAGGAGGAGGGAGAAAAATTATTCTCCATAATTTCTTAGGATAGGACAAGAAGCAATGGGCTTAAATTTCAGTAAGGGAGGTTTAGGTTGAACATCAGGAAAAACTTCCTGTCAGGGTGATTAAACACGGGGATAAATTGCCTAGGGAGATTGTGGAATCTCCATCACTGGAGATATTTAAGAGCAGGATGGACAGACATCTATGAGGGATGATCTAGAGGATGCTGGGTCCTGCGGTGGGCGCAGGGGACTGGACTCGATGACCTCTTGAGGACCCTTCCAGTTCTAGTATCCTATGGCACTAACCTGGGCATCGTCCACATATTGGGGTTCTACCATTGATGTTGTGGTCTTGGTCTTGGCTCTGATGTGACTCAGATTGAAGAGGCTACTATCCATCTTTTAGGTTATTTCAACTCCACCTGGGAGGTCGTCTCCAATAACCTGGAGTATGGCTGCCAAAAAGATATTAAATAGCATTGGTGTGATCACACACCCTTCTTTGACTCCAGTCCTTACGTCACTTGGTTCAGTTGTGTCGCCATTGCTGAGTATCACGGCCCGCAAGTTGTCGTACAAGAGATGTATAATACTGACAGTGTCATAGGATCTTCCAGAGGGCCTCGCGGTTGACGGAGTCAAATGCTTTTGTTGAATTGAAGAATGTCATATACAGAGGCTGATGTTGCTTCCGACGCTTCTCTTGTATTAGGAGGGCAAAAAAGATTGTATTGGTCATTCCTCGCCTTACTCAGAAGCCACATTGTGACTCTGGAATGGCTTCTTCAGCCATTGGAAAGAGGCAGTTGAAAAGGACTTGGGTGAGAATTTTATCTGCAGCTGAGAGCAAGGAGATCCTTCGGTAGTTTCCGTGGTCTGTCCTGTCACCCATCTCAAAGATGGTCACTATGATGGCATCTCTGAGCTCGCTGGGTACGGTTTCCTCTCTCCAGATCATCAGAATGAGGGAGCATAGGCACAACAGCAGGGATGGTCCTCCTTGCTTGAATGTCTCAGCAGGGATCCCGTCAGTGCCTGTGGCCTTGTTGTCTTTCATCTTTTTTGTGGCTGCTTGGATCTCGCAGATGGAGGGTTCACGATCCAGACTGACACAGACAGGTAGGCTGGTGATCACATGGAAAATGCTGTCATCAACAGTAGCGACACGGCTGAACAGAAGATGGGCTCCAAGCAATCATCGACGTTTTCGCCATGGCCTACCGCAGGTTGGGACCGACTCTACGCACGAAAGACCAAGGTTCTCTTTCAGCCTACACCCACCACACCGTTTCCCGAACCAACCATCCCGGCGGACGTCCAACTGCTGGAGAATGTCAACCAGCTTCCCTGATCTCAGAAGCGATCTGCCCAGCAATGCTGCCATCGACCATGAAATCTGCCACCAAATCTCCAGTGCTTACGGACATTTACGGAGGCACGTTTTCGTTGACCTTGATCTCAAGATGCAGACCAAGATCGACGTCTACAATGCCGTCTTCATCCCAACCTTGCTGTATGGAGCTGATGCCCGGACTCCAAAGGGACCTGAGCAGAATATCGGGCAGGCGTGGCCAACCCGCGGCTCACGAGCCACATGCGGCTTTTCCCCCCCCCCAATCAGTGCGGCTCATGACGCAACCTCCATGCCCCCTGAATATGGCCCACGCCTCCCAGCTCCCCTGTGCTTACCGGGGGAGGGGAACTGTCTGGATCAAAATGGCAGATCCAATATGGCGGCTGCGGCTGCTGAGGCCAAAAAGCCGCCTTAAAGGGCCGGTCCTCTCTCTTGTAGCACAAAAAAACAAAAACAAAAAAACACTTTTTGCCCTAGCTCTTTGTGCTGGATCCAGCTGGATCTTGGCTCTTTGTCCGGAACAGACTGGCCACCCCTGATATTGGGCATCACGCGGCAGGGTAGACAGACCAATGTTAGTGTCCTCACAAAAGCTGATTCCTGCAGCATCAAGGCAATAATTGCCCACAGGCAGCTACGATGGTCTGGTCACGGTCAGGAGGCCTGACACGCTTGCCTGAATGGATTTTCTGCACTCCGCTGAGAACCGGGACGAAGTCTCGTGGTGGGCAGAAAAGGCTCTACAAGGATGTTCTTAAGAACACCTTGGTAAAGTGCGGCATTGATGTGACACCTGGGAGAGGCAGGTGAATCGGGTAACCTGTTTTCCCCCCCCCCAATCAGTGCGGCTCATGACGCAACCTCCATGCCCCCTGAATATGGCCCACGCCTCCCAGCTCCCCTGTGCTTACCGGGGGAGGGGAACTGTCTGGATCAAAATGGCAGATCCAATATGGCGGCTGCGGCTGCTGAGGCCAAAAAGCCGCCTTAAAGGGCCGGTCCTCTCTCTTGTAGCACAAAAAAACAAAAACAAAAAAACACTTTTTGCCCTAGCTCTTTGTGCTGGATCCAGCTGGATCTTGGCTCTTTGTCCGGAACAGACTGGCCACCCCTGATATTGGGCATCACGCGGCAGGGTAGACAGACCAATGTTAGTGTCCTCACAAAAGCTGATTCCTGCAGCATCAAGGCAATAATTGCCCACAGGCAGCTACGATGGTCTGGTCACGGTCAGGAGGCCTGACACGCTTGCCTGAATGGATTTTCTGCACTCCGCTGAGAACCGGGACGAAGTCTCGTGGTGGGCAGAAAAGGCTCTACAAGGATGTTCTTAAGAACACCTTGGTAAAGTGCGGCATTGATGTGACACCTGGGAGAGGCAGGTGAATCGGGTAACCTGGAGGACCACCATCTTTGAGACCACCTTTGAGATCAAGTGACGTCTCCATGAAGAAGATCAGAGAGCCTGACGTAAGGCCTGTATTGGAGCAGCTGGTCTCGGCACCACTGGCGGTAGAGACCTCACGTGTACCCACTGCCAGAGAGTGTTCCTTGCCAGAATTGGCCTACGTTCTCATCTACGTACTCATCAGTTAGAGGCATCCAAGGGGAAATCTTATTCGCTTTGAGGGATCCCAGAGGCAAGTAGGTCGTCTCTGAGTAGACCCCAATCTCCATGAAGATTGGTGGCTTGTCTGTTTCTCTGGTTGATCTTAAACCACTGTGAAGTTCACAAAAATTGACACTTTCCGGAGCCTCCGGGTGCTTTCTACCGTAATGTAAACTCCACGATGCTCTGTGATGTAGGTCATTATGAATCCTGTTGTAGGGCTGAGAGACGGGTCTGAAAATGCATGAAGAATGAGTAGATGGAGCTGGGATTCGAACTGGAGACTGCTGGCGCTAGTCTTGTGCTATAACCGCACACCTTGAGAGAGCCGCCGTGTGCTTGCTAGGCGCTTCAGGTTCCTCGGCGGCAGTGCACGATGGGACACAACGTGTTAGGTGGCGTGTGCGTCAGCCGTGGGGAGTGTTCTTTGCAGGGTAGCTGCTGAATGCGCAGTGTGCTTCCCAGCATGGTTTGTGCTTGTTACTCCGTGTCGTGGCACAGGTTTTGTGTATCCTCTGCCCGTTGTTCCCTCTCTTCTCCATGGGGTGGGTGCTGTTTGCCTCAGGACACATCTTTCTGCAGGGCTGTCTCTGCAGGGGCGGGTGCCCGGCACTGGCCCCCACACACGGTCCTGCGAGGGTAGACGCTGTGGAGGTTGCCAGCTCTCCTGGGCTGGATGCCATTTGCTGCAGTGGCGTTCGGCCTGGGAGAGTTGGCAACCGGGAGCAGCGCAGGGAGGGAGGCTCAGCCGCAGCGTCGGGGCAGCGGGTGGGTGGCGAGCGGCGCGGAGGGCGGGCTGGAGGAGCAGAGCGTAGCCGCGCTGCTGGCCAGTGCCTGGTGAGGTGGCTGGGGCTGGCCAAAGCTGCCGCTGAGCCTGTGGGGGGGGGGGAGGAAGCGACCAGGAGATGGGGCTTGGAGCTGCTCAGCCCACAGGCTGGCCGGCCACCCCGTGGCATAGGGCAGTGGTTTTCAGAATACGGGTCGTGACCCAGCACTGGGCTGTGGCAAGTCAAGCACGGCGGCGTCTGGCCGTGTAGGGTGCCCAGGTGACTCGTGGGGTTGCTATGGCAACGTCCGGCCTGTCCTGGCACCTTGGACCACACTGCGCCCCACAAGTGGCCAGCAGCAGGGCCAGCTCCTAGGCCGGGGCCACGGGGCTCTACATACTGCCCTCCCCCTGAGCACCAACTCCACGCTCCCATTGGCTGGAGCTGGTGCTCAGGGATGGGGGGGCAGGGCATGGAGCCCTGTGGCCCCCCGCCCCAGAGCGGGGGCGACCCACGGCATTTGCTTGCCCCATCCTGGACAGAGGAGGGGGCCGCTGCTGCCTCTCTCCGACCCCTGCAGACAAGCCAAGCTCCGGGCGCCTTTTTGTCCTCAGCCTGGCGGGTTTCTTCGGACAGAAGTGGGAAAACCAGGGCCGTCCTTAGGCACGCGCAGCTGCGTGGGGCACCGTGCCGGTGGTTTTCAAACTTTTTTTCCTCACGGCCCTATTGAAGAAAATTGGTGATGCCCGTCACCCTGTGGGGTGGGGCTGGGAATGAGGGGCTCGGGGTGCAGGAGGGGACTGGGGCAGGGCGTTGGGGCGCCAGGTTGGGCCTGAAGTTACTTCCAGCGACTCACTCAGCAGAGCAGCGGGGACTCAAAGGCTGCTTCCCGCCTGCCCTGGCGCCTCAGACCGCGCTGTGGTCTGAGTCCCGGGCGGGGGCGCACAAGCGGTTCTGCGCGCTGCTCTTGTGCACAGGCCTCTGTCCAGGATGGGGCAAGCAAATGCTGATTCGGTGGCACCCGTGGGCTCCTGGCAGGTTGCCATGGGGGGAGGCGTCCCCCCCACACACACGCAGAGCAGCCAAAGGGCAGATGTACGTCCTTCCCCATCCCCCAGCTCTGCCGGGCGTTAACTCTCCCCCTTCTTTGCTCCTTTTAGTCCTCATCCCGTGAAGCCCATAAGCGCGGCAGAGGTCTCCGGGGAGAAGCAGCAGCACCGATCCCCCCTGACGACGGCCCTGAGCAGCGGCCTGGAAAAGCTGAAGACGGTCACCACGGGCAGCATCCATCCGGTGGCCCCTTCATCGCAGCCGGGGAAAGCGGAGCCCAAGAAGCTAAAGGTGGGGTCACCGCCACGGTCCCATGGTGCCGCCCCCCCGCCCGTTCGTGTGGCGTGACCGTGGCGATGGGAGCCTAGGATGTCCCTAGCGGAGAGACCGTTGTACGTGGGAGCCTGTGAGGCCACGGGACGGGCGCCTAGCCACTGTTCTCAGCATCGCCCTGCACTGATGGGGGAGGGTGGGCGCGGTACCCGCTCTTTCCCCTTGTCTCTCCCCTACCAAGGGGGGTTACCGGTGCGTGTTCATGCTGCGGCAAAGGCTGCCCCATGGAATAGGGATGCGAACGTGTATCCTCATGGTTACACGCAGCCTCAGTCCTCCCCCCACTCCCCTCACTGCCTGGATCAGGCCATGAGGAAGGTGGGAGCCGGCTTTTAAGCTGGCTCCCCATGCATGGCTGACTCCTCCTCCCCCGCAGCCTTCACAGAGGCAGCAGCACAAAGGGGTGGAATCGGCTCCCTGTGAGCGCCGGCTCCCGCAGAGCTGCCTGTCCCCTTCACTACAGAGGCAGCGGTGTGGGGGAGGAGGGGCAGGCGGGGGCTGGTACATGCGGGGAGCTGGCTTTCAAGCTGGCTCCTGCCGAGCTGACCCCCGACTGTGCTGCTGCCTTTGATACAGAGGCAGCAGTGGGGGAGGGGGCAGGTGGGAGCTGGTACTTACATGGAGCCAGCTTTTAAACCAGCTCCCATAGAGCTGCCTCCTCCCTCCTTCCCCTGCCCCACGTTGCTGCCTCCCACAGAGGCAGCAGCATAGAGTGGGGGGGAGCAGGCAGGAGCCCATGCTGTTG